AACGTAATAGACCCAAGGCTATTGGGTTCTCTAAAAAAATTTTAAGACTAAGATTTTAATAAATACAGATGAGACCAGGGAGGGTAAAAACTATAGTCCATCCTATCTTGGGTAAGTACACACCTTTGGGTATAAAGGGGCAAATAAGTTTTACATCATAAATTTAGAATGAGACATACGTATAGCATGTTTTAAAATAAAAAATTAATATAATCAAAAGGGTATATTACACTGGTCGAAGGTCCACTGGAGAAAAAAGAAGAAGTTGCTAGAAAGACGACTTGAGAAGCTTGCAAACGTTAGGAAATTTCGGGCTGCCGTTAGACCAAAAGCTTGCACTGTGAATATGAGATCACAAAAATTGTTCTTATATAAAATGTAAACGTCAATACGAATTCAGTACTAATCCAGCGTGTATTGCTATGGACCCGTACAACGAGCTTGAAGTAGGCAGAATGCAAAATATGCGAACAAGAGTAAGGGAACAAGAACCTGTCTACCATAGGACGCTTAAGGTGATTTAAGGACTTGATACTGAAATTGTTGCCAAAATGATAAGAGTAAGCACCTCGATAACATTGAAGTTCACTTAGCCTTGTACCCCAAAAGGTTTTATCATTCAAAGTGGACTACATTTCCGACTTCACCTAGATCTCATCAGCCTTCCCAAATTGACATGGTAGCGAAAAGCTATCATTTCGCTACAAGGCCATGGGTGCCAGTGGGTCACATTGTGGAAACAAAATTCAAGACAAGTCAGGACTAGCAAACCATAAGAGCGGGATTATCAACGAAACTAACATGTATTTGTTATAACAATCAACTACATCAATTAACTTCGATGTGAGTATATCAGCAATTCTTAAACAAGAACAGTCCTTAAATCATCCTGAAAAACCTAGGATGACCAAGTTTTTATTCACGGATTTCTTATAGTTTTGGAACATACTCAAAAAAAAATAAGGACAAAATCACGAGATTAAGACATGGTGAACCCTGATAGAGTTTCATTCACGGCTGGTTGCTTTTAAGAGCATACAACAAGGAATGTTAAATTGATTCGGCTGTGAGTTCATTGAGATCTAGAAGAGTGTACCTCATACTGCAACTATTTCATGTCCATCCAGCAAAGATTCGTTTACTGAGTACATTTTCAGAAGTTTCGTAGCAAGCATCAACATATATCGCTTAAGCAATCAAGTAAAAAATAGTAAATAAAAGTTCCAGCTAGTTGTCTAGCTACAAGGTTGCTTATCTGAAATACGAGCAAACAAGACAGCCTTTGGTTTAGGAACCAATGTAAGGTGTTGTGTCAATGATTAGAGGACCATAAATAAAAGCTGTGAAGCCTAAATTGAGGAAGTAAAGAAGAGATGTATCCATTAGGTAGAAAACATATTTAAAAAGCTTGTTTTTATATATATTCAAAAAATATACTGTTCAAATTACGTAATTGAAATTTTAGCTATAACTTTACATAGGATATGTGGCTTGGCTACATAAGAAGAATGCCATAACTAGACCAGCTGTGTTGACCGAGCTAACGAGGAGCAAGATTTCAAGGCATAGACTAAAATGTGAGCTATAAGGATATCAGATAATACTTGGCAGAAAAAAACACATAGTGAGAGCTATGTTGAGAACACTGGAGGGGACTCACTCCGTAATAATGAGAGAACTTATGTATACGAAGAAAAAGCGAATTTCGATGAATCGCCTGAGCCATTGTTGTGAAGACTTTCATTTCGTATAGAAGTGCATTATGAAGAGATTCGCAAGTCGATCTCACCGGAAGACGACGGCTGATTCCAGTTATACTGCAGTCGTTTGGCTTTGATACGACATTCAGGTTGACGCCATCCATGAGACATCCTTTACGATTCGAATAAAAAAGGGCGGAGCTTTCGTTCGTCAAATAGCAAGCATCATCAGAGCTGGGACTCATTCTTGCAAAAGTCTCACATCAAGAAGACTTTTCTTGACTTAGTGTTAGCGTGAGACTATTATAAGAACGAGTCCCAGCTCTGATAATGCTCGCTATATGACGAACGAAAGCTCAGCCCATTTTCATTCAAATCAAAGGAGGATGTCTAGTGGATGACGTCAATATGAACGTTGTATTAAAGCCAAAGGGCTATAGTACAACGGGAATCAGCCGGTCTTCTGGTGAGACCGACCTTCGAATCTCTTAATCATGCACTTATATACGAAATGAAAGTTTCCACAACAAGAGAACTTATGATCCGAATGCTCCTCTTTGTGATTCAGCCACACTATAAAGGCTCCTAAGTTAACTCTTGAAGCAAATTCAAAACGGAGGTCAAAACATCTTAGTTTTTAATTCTAAAACCAAACATCGATGCTGCCTGAGCACCATTAAGCTTGGCAAGCTTCAGATAGAGTATAAAAGTGCCAGATTTCCTTGTCAGTATCAGTCACTCAATCAATAAGCTGAGGATTCTTGATTTAAATTTAAACACTGTCAGAGAAGATATAAGTCAATCGAGGAACCCTTTGCCCAAAATACACAGGAGAATGAAGGGCAACATGATAAAGCCCGACCAAATATAAACGAACGTCGAAGGCATTCCTATACATTTACTTAATTACAATATTTTGAGTATTTGGTTTGGTCAAGAAATCAAGACTTTAATGATTTCACAGCAGTGCAGACCATTTAAGCCCTTGTAATTCAAGTGCTTTAACTAGTTAGTGGATTATCAAGGAGCTAACATATAAAGAGAATAAACATTCCGTTACAGTAGGAGACTTCTTTTATGCGAAATCTGAACAAGTTGGGAATGCTTGCGAAATAAGACGTTTTTTAACTGAAGAAAAATAGATTCCTGAGGCAAGGCATGAAAAAATACAATCAGAACATCGTATGCAACAATTCCGGATCAAAATAAGTTTCCACCTTAAAAAGTGAAAGTGGATGCAGTGCCAATGAGACTCATAAGTTAACACAAAGACTAATATGGAATAATTTAAAGCCCAGAAGAATTGCTAGTGATGACTCATGAGTGTAATATTAAAGGGCACAGCAGTGAAAACACCAATCTCCTCTGTATATCTGGCCAGATTGTAAGAATGAGAAAAAGCATACCTGACACAGTGCAACAACGGCTCTCCAGCGATCTCGCTATCACTTGCAACTGCTGAATTGACAGTCCCTTGATCAAAACCTGGGCCAGTTGAAGCGGCCGCTTCCAAGGCGCAGGTGTTGCAGACGTGCGCGCTGCATCTGACTACATGGGCCGCATTGCCTGTTCCACTTAACAAAACGCCAGGTAAGCCGAACACACAGGAGAAGTGAAAGCGGCGCCCGCAATCGTTTATCTAATAAGTTTTAGGAAGATGAAAGAGATATAAAAAAAACTAACGAAGGATTGCTCAGGCTCCTTGAGGTTAACTCCAAATAGTGTAACGAGTGTCCAGTCAGATAAAGAAATTTTTGGATGACTAACATTTTTTATTCGCCAGTATTTAAGAAATAAAGGTCGAAATGATCTAAATAATAATGGATCCACCTAGTTGTATTC